ACGGAGAGCAAGGATTTCTTGCCTCTGAAGGAAAACTTCCTCTCTCCTCAGTATGAAGCAGTTACACAAGCAGTTGCCCTTTTCTCTGAAAGAATTCAGAGCCAACATCCTTGAGTGGGGGTATGTGGTAGGCAGTTAGACATAAGCAGGGCAAGGATGATGGGCCAACTGGAAGAGAAATGAACAGGCCCCTGAGATGTGTGTCTCACCATTATAATTGCTCTGAAACTGGCAATGGAGGAACCTCTGTAGAATGGACTTTTACATTTTGCCAAGTAGGAGTTGAAACACCTATTGATAATATATAGAATCATTCCATTCATTTTGGGAAGTCACATACAGGGACCTTTATATGTGGGGACCCAATGTCTGGGAAAAGGATGCAGGGATATTTTCTCTAAAGGTTACTACAGGAGTTCCCTGTGGCAAATGTGACTTTCACCGAGTGTTCTAGTTATTGTTTCAGTATGTAACCCTATCTAATAAAAGGGTAATATGCAAATTGACCATCACTCCAACACACAAGATGACCACATCACTCCCAAGTGGTCAAAGATGGCCGCCCCCATGTGGATACAAGATGGCCACCACAAGATGGCCAGCAGGGAAGGGCAGTTGTGGGCGATCTGGCCAGCAAGGAAGGATAGTTGGGAGGGACCCAGGCCTATAGGGGATGGCATTTGGGAGGGACCAGGCCTAAAGAGGAGGACAGTTAGGGGGGATCAGGCCTGCAGGGGAGGGCACTTGTGGGGGGGGTCAGTCCTGCAGGGGAGGGCAGTTGGGGGTGACCAGGCTTGTAGGGGAGGGCAGTTGGGAGGGACCCAGGCCTACAGGGGAGGGCAATTGGGGGGGACCAGTCCTATAGGGGAGGGCAGTTGGGGATGATCAGGCCTGAAGGGAAGGGCAATTGAGGGAGACCAGGCCTTAGGGGAGGGCAGTTGGGAGAGACCCAGGCCTACAGGGGAGGGCAGTTGGGGGAGACCAGGCCTGCAGGAGAGGGCAGTTGGGGGCGACTAGGCTAGCAAGGGAAGGGCAATTAGGGGAGACTAGGCTAGCAAGGGAGGGCAGTTAGGGCTGACCAGGCCGGGAGGAGAGGGCAGTTAGGGGTAACCATGCCAGTAAGGGAGGGCAATTAGGGGCTATTGGGCTGGCAGGGGAGCAGTTAGGCATCAGTCAGGCTGGCAGGCAGAAGTGGTTAAGGGCAATCAGGCAAGCAGGCAGGTGAGCAATTGGGAGCCAGCATTCCTGGATTATGAGAGGGATGTCCAACTGCCTGTTTAGGCTCAATCCCCGGGATCCGGCCTAAATGAGCAGTCGGACATCCTTCAAGGGATCCCGGGTTGGAGAAGGTGCAGGCTGGGCTGAGGGACACATACACCTCTCTCCTCCATGCATGAATTTTATGCACTGGATCTCTAGTAACTATAATATGAATTGTTCTGATGATTTCACTCTCCATTATGATAATCGACATACTAAGCTGCTGGGTGGGTGGTTTCTGGTATGTGGGTTCATATATTCCTGCTAACAGCCCCAGGAGGCCCTGTTCCTTTGGGTGACTGTCTTTAATGCTTCAGAAACATCACAGGGTCTGAACCAAAAGAGACCTTCTCTGGACCCTGACACCAAACAGCAACAATTCACTTCTGTGGAGCCCTGCTGCTGGTAATGGAAGGCTCCCTTAGTGTAGAAGTGACCTGGCTGGCTTGTGGCATGCTAAAAGCCCAGAATGCCACTTCCAGGGCTACACAGGGGACAAATAAAGAGCTGAGCCAGGCCGAAACCGGTTTGGCTCAGTGGACAAAGCATCGGCCTGTGGACTGAAAGGTCCCAGGTTCGATTCCGGTCAAGGCATGTACCTTGGTTGTGGGCACATCCCCAGTAGAGGGTGTGCAAGAGGCAGCTGATGGATGATTCTCTCTCATCAATGTTTCTAACTATCTCTCTCCTTTCCTCTCTGTAAAAAATCAATAAAATATATATTTAAAAATAAAAAAAAGAGCTGAGCCAGGTCAGGGAGGCAGTTCTAGAGAATCGGGCAGCAATAGATTATTTGTTGTTGTGGCATAACCACGGCTGTGAGGAATTTAAAAGAATGTGCTGTTTTAATCTTTCTGACAATTCTCAATTGATAGAAAACAACATTCTCCAAGATAAAACAACAAGAAAGGGCTGAAACCGTTTTTGACTCAGTGGCTAGAGCATCAGCCTGCAGACTGAAAGGTCCCAGGTTTGATTCCGGTCAAGGGCATGTACCTTGGTTGCGGGCACATCCCCAGTGTGGGGTGTGCAAGAGGTAGCTGATCGATATTTCTAACTCTCTATCCTTCTCCCTTCCTCCCTGTAAAAAAATCAATAAAATATATTAAAACCACAAGAAAGGGTTTTGTTTGTTGTATTATATTTGACCTACCCACATTAACTTCCTGGCTACCCAACCTGTCTGAGTTGCAGGAATTCTTTTAAATTTTTCTCCTGTTTATATTTTGTAGACTTAATTACTTGCTGCTGTATTCAATGTCTTCCTCTTTTTTAGATCCTGCATTCGCTGTGTTCCATGTGTAAACTACTTTCAAGGCAGAAGCAAATGCAGTCCAGCAGGATGAGACTTTTCATCTAAAACTAATCTTATAGATATGAGATGACAGAAATAACAGTGGGAAAATGTTAGGGGCAAAAACAGAATATTGGGGACTAGCTATAAGAAATATTAATCATACTCTGTTAATCATGATTGTCTTGTTCTGATTAAAGAAAGGACATTCTAACTTAGCTGGGACACTGGAACCTGGGAGTCAACTTTGGACCTGGCAGTCAATCTTGGAATGTGGTCCATTCTCATTCAAGAACTGGCTAATATCGTGGAAAGATTGACAACCTTGTTGCCCAAACAATGAAGTCCCACTCCAGCCCTCGTTGCCTCCTTCTCAAGGCTTATAATTCCTACTCCCCCATGCAATGTTTGCTCTACCAATATAAGCTTATGTGGGTAGGGGGTAGAGAGAAGATTTTTGTGGATGACCCACTGCTCTCCCATACTGCCATCAGTATGGGAATAAATGCTCATATAATTCAACCCTGTCTCTGCTTAACTGGCTCAGGTAGTGACAGGCAGCCCAGACCCATTGGTTGTGCAGTTCCAAGCCTACCATCTATATACTAATATATAAAAGTCTAAGCAACTGGCTGATGGGCCACCAGGCAGGTAGCTATGATGCACACTGACCACCAGGGCGGGGGGGGGGGGGGGGGGGGCAGACGCTCAACACAGGAATGGAAACCACAGGCATGGGAAAAGGAAAACAGACTGATGAATCAGAGGGGAGGGGTCGCAGGGGAGAGTGGGAAGAAATTCACCAAATGTCTTATATGCATACCAGAGGCCTAGGCCCGGTGCAGATTCGTGCACAGGTGGGATCCCTTAGCCTGGCATGCAGGGTTGGGTTGAAACCCGCTCTCTGACATCCCCCGAGAGGTCCCAGATTGCGAGAGGGTGCAGGCCAGGCTGAGGGACCCCCTCAGTGCACAAATCTATGCAACTGGCGTCCAGTAGTTTATAAATGGAAAAAATCTAACATATTCCATTTACAAGCACAGTTTGAAAGTGTTAAGGGATTTTGTTTCCTTTAATTTTTATTGATTGATTGCTTTTAGAGGGAAAGCAAAGGAGAAAGGGAAGGAAAAAAAAACATCAATTTGTTTTTCCATTATTTATGCCTTTGTTGCAGGAAAGCCCCAAAAGTCTAAATTCAGGATGGATTCAGAAGAACTGACATAAAACCTTATGCAAATTCCTTACAGCTTAATAGGAGAAACACATAAACAGGCAAAGCAGCTGCTTGCTTCCAGCAGTGGCCAATCAGTAATATATCCACACCATCCCAGGACAGGGTCTCTGTTTTATAGGAGGGCTCATATTAAAAGCATGTGGTGGGTAGTCACATGGGACAACAGAAAGTACAATGCAAGTCTAAATTAACAGATAACATCAGGCAGCTATCCACACCCTATTCATTCATTAACCTTCTTCTTGGAGCCTTGATATTTACCTTCAGGCGGTATTCTGGCTTTCTGGGTAGTTGGCCAAACCTGCAGCTACAGAGTTAAACAGTCACAGAAAGTTAAACAGAGTCCAACATTTCCCCCATGACTTTACTGGGGGAGACACACTGCATCTCTATCTCCCCTATAGTATTCATTGGTTGATTCTTGCATGGGCCTGCGCCATCAATGGAACCCACAACCTTGGTGTATTGGGACAATGCTCTAACCAACTGAGTTACTGGCCAGAGCAGAAAGTGTTAAAGGAATTTAATTATTATAAAAGCCCTCTTTAAGAGTTTGTTAAAATATTTTAGACTAGGCCAGGATTATTACTGGTTGATAAAACTATGCTTAACCCTGGCTGCACATCAGAATCAGAGAAAAGTAGAATCGAACAGAATATGAATATATATCTTGTTTCTTAATCATTTTACAGTAAGTTACAGATACAATACCCTTTTACTCCCCAATACTAAAAACATTATTACATCAAAATAGGGATATTAAGGTACTGATATGTTACAACCTAATTCACAAACTATTTTTAATTCATCCAGCCCTGGTCGGTGTGGCTCAGTCGCTCTGCAGTCAAGGTAGATCCAGAAGACCTGAAGAAAATTCACTTACCCCAGGCGCATTACCTCAGCAGAAACAAACAAAATATGTATTCCCTGCTACCGCTTTCCTCCCCCTTGGACCAATGGAAATTCCGAGATGAGTAATAGATGGATGCCCCAACCATTCGGGCGCGCGGAGGTGGGGTTGGAGCTCTCCCCCGAGGGCCTGTTGGGCGAATCCGCATCTGGCCGCAGGCTCTTTCCGGCTCCCCCCCTTTGCAGAGGCGGAGACCCAGCGGTGTCGTGGCATAGCCGGGGCGTGGCCTGGGGTCCACCAAGAGAGGAGGCACTGTGTCCTTGCCGGAGGAGGGAGGTGACTCCAGCCGAAGAGGACGCAGAATGAGGGCCATGCGGGTGAGGGCCCCCGCGGGCCGGGCCCCCCATCCCGGAAGCCTTCGTCCCAGGATCTGGGGCGCTGGAACGTGAGCCCATTCAGGGTTCGAGTCTCCCGTCTAACAGCCTGGGACCCCAACCCCTCACCTCCTAATCCAAGAGCTTCTTAGATAGCCAAGGACACTAACATGGCCCAGAGTCCCGGTTTGACCTTCCCTTTGTCCAGAGCTCCTAACACCTCGGGACCCAGGCACTGGGAACTGAACACCCCTTCCCTTCCCTTCCCGGACCTCTTAGGCTATCTGGAAACTCCGTTGGGTATATTTCCGGGACCTGGGCTTCTACCATTAATTCAGGGGACTGTGCCTTCCTTATGGGTCTGCTCCTCTTCCAGGACCGTACAACGGTCGCCAACCTTCTGGACCTCACGGACCATCAGTGAGGTCACCGTAACCTCCAAGTCAGACCCTCCAGGCGCGAGTCCCTTCTGGGTCTTTCTTGACATTCCACCCTCTCCCACTCGTGCTGGCAACTCTGATCTTGTCTTTGGGAAGCTTTCAAGTCATAGGGTCGTCCCCGTAACCCCCGCTGGACCCACTTCCTTCGAGACACCCCTCCCGGTGCCTCTAAGACCCATCCACCGCTTTCCCCCAGGCTTCCCAGGCGTTGATTCGCTCCTTCAGCTCAACAGCTAGGAACCGCTTGGAGAACCGAGTGGCGGAGAAACAGAAACTCTTCCAGGTAGGCGGGGCAGGGGCTGAAAGCTGATCCAGAGAGAGGCGGGGGATAATCTTCGCAACACCAGCACCCTTTTCTTATTGGATGTCCCCAACATCAGGCGGACAATGACCTTCCGGTGCACTTGAAGGGCGGGGGAACTGACAACATTCTTTACCGACTGACCATGGGGCTGTGTCTGGGAGGTGAGTGCAGGGCCTGTTCGGCCTGATCTGCAGGTGAACTCAAGCTGGAGTGAGGAAGGGGGCTGATTCTTGGGCTAGAATTTAGGGAAGGGATTCGGTTCTAGGTTGGCCAGGTTTGGGGATAGTACTGGAGTCTGGGTCAGCATATTGAGGAGAGCTCCCTAGGATATGGGCTTCTGTCCCAGGAGGGGGTCTGGGGCCCTGGTAGGAGCTGAGTAGAAAGCTCAGGGCCTGGTCTGGATCAAGGACCAGGGATTCCCCACCTGAAGTACAGTTTGAGGAGGGAGTTTGAACCATGAACTGGGGCTGGGATCCAGACCGGTGATTGGAGAGCTGCATTGTGGCTTAAAAACCCAAGATGGGGTTCAGGGAAGCGATTAGAGTCTCATTCTGTATCCCCATACTCCCTTTCCAGGTACCGTCTACAGTCTGTATTGCCTTGGCTGGGCTTCCTTCCCCCACCAGAAGTGAGACCAAGAAACCTGCAGGACCTGAAGAACTTGAATAAGCATCAATAAATGTGCTGGCTTCTTGGGGAACCCAGCCCCCTCTGGCCTCTGTGTGCACCCTCAGACCATCCTCCCATTAGCAAGTAATCTCTGTCCTAAGGACAGCCCATTGCCCCAGCCTTGAGTCCCCTCATTCTAGTCCCCTCATCTGTTCCTAGGATGTCACTGGCTCTTGGCCTTCCCAGAGGGGTTGGGGACCCCAAAGGGTACCCCTGGGCTATCCCTGCCCCTCAGGCTTTGGTGATCAAAGGTGGTGTCCTCGATTGGGACAGGGATATGTATCCTGGGATAGCAGCCCGTTTCTCCCTCCAGAGGCTCTGGGGGGTGGGAAGGAAGATGCTAACTGTGGTCATGGTGAAATAGTTAAGAGGCACAGATGAGTGGGACAAACGTGACCTTGGGAGACAGAACCAGGAGTGACACTGATCCTTCCCACCAGCCCTGCTCTTACAGCAGGAGCAGGAATGCCAAGGCCTCTGTGTTCCACTTTCAACTTGCACAGAATCTCTGAAGTATCAGCAAGAATGAGGCTACGACTCGACTGGGATCCACTGTGAGAAAGACATGCAGATCCAGCTTTTGGGATAGACACAAAGACCCACAAAACCACCCCCACTCCACCACCAGCACCAAGACTCCCTCTGTCCCAGACAGCCTGAGCCACCCTTTAACTCTCAAAACAGGAGGCAGATCTCAGAGCAGCAACTGGGGTGCATTTATTTCCTCCAGGGGGCAGAATACAAAGGCACTGGGGCATATATGGGCCTGTTATGACCTGGCTGGGTGGTTAACTAAACAGGTGTGCCAGGGTGCATAGGGTCTAGGGTGATTCTCCCAGAACTTAGAGAAGGGCGCTTGGGGTGTGGAAGTGACACAACTTGGCATAGATGCATGAGAAGGGTTGTGGAGTGGGTGTGCCGAGGGTGGAGTGGCCCATGGGTCAGGGTGTGTTAGAGTGTCCTAGAGCCAGAGGTAACTTGGGGCATGGCATGTTGGAACATGTTGAGCCCTAGCTGTTGTCTGAGACACTAGTTGCCAACAGCTGGGAAAATGGAAAAGCTGATGTGTCAGCAGGACCCACAAAGACATGACTGCAGACAGGATCAGCCTTAGAAGAAACCAAATGTCCAAGGTGACACCTAATGTGAGGTGATGAGGAGAGAGGTCTGAGGTTCCCACTCAGGAATACATAGTCAACTGCAGCCACTGGGAAGAGAAAGGCACAGAGTGAGGAGGAGAATACCAGGAGCCCTTCTCTGCCCTCACCCAGGGACTATTGGGAAAACAGGAGGGAGGGAACCCAGTTCAGAGCTAAGGGAAGGGGTGCCCTCCTAAGAACCTACATCCTAGGATGGGAGTTCTTACCTCCTGGATGTTCACCTGAATTTGTCCAGTGCCATCTTTATCAAGAGATTTGAAAGCACCTAGAGAAGGGTAGGGGAAGGAGGGGTGGCTTTTAGGATAAAAATATACTAATATATGGGTTGATGATAATAGTAGCTAGTACTTGATTTAGCACTATATAAAGTGCTTTCCATGTATTAACTCATTTAATCCAATTCTGAGATGTGTCATTTTAAAATTTGGCACAGAGAAGTGACTTGTTCCAGATCATTCAGTGAGAAAGTGAGGAAATTGGGATTGAAACCCAGGTTGTCACCCACCTCAATAATGGCCTCCATATACCATCATCCTCTACCCAAGCTTCCCACTGACCTCTGAGCTCTAGCTTAAATAGACTATTGAAAGAGACTCTGCAGGCTTCACTTCCTGCTTTAGTGTCTGGCATGGTTCCCACTCCTGCCCTGAAACTCCCCTCCATGTTCTCCACCCACAGCTAAATCTGGGTAAACAGGTGCCCACACGGCCTTCGCTTCTCTCTCATTCTACATTGTTACCGCCCTCAGATGTCCACATACTCCCTGGTGTCCTAGACGCTGCATTCACAGCAGTTACTGCTGACCCTCTTGCTGGTAAATCCAGTGGACATTTCTTGGGCCTTCTCACATGTGGCTTTTGGCATTGCCTGCCCTATTATCCACTCCTGCTTTCCCTTCATAGCCTGACATACCTGTCCCTTTTCCTCTACCCATGACTCTTAATGTATGGTCCTCCCTGGTCTCTTGGGAAGCCAAGGGATCAAAGCCAAATTTGACTGTCCCTCCCCTGCCTAGAACCTATTATAGTTTTCCATTGCCCCCACTGTCTAAATACCCCGAAAAATTGGCATTCACAGCCCTACATGCCCATTGTTCTTGCATCCTTTCACTCAACTCTCTCAAACAGGTCGAAGTTCAAATTCTGGCTTTGGAATTAATTTCCTGCTGAGTGGCTGTGAGCAAGCAATTTTGTCTCCTTGAACCCTAGTCTCCTACTCCATAAAATGGGGGCAATAATTCCCACTTCTCAGGGTGATCTTAAAGATTCAGTGCATTCATGTTCAAAAGAGCTTCATGATCCAGTCCCTGCTATCCCCTCCTTGCAGCCTTTTGTTTCACCATCCCACCGCCTCTTCAACATGCTGAACTAAGTTCAACAAAAACACCAAAACTACCATCTTCTCTCTCCTTTTTGGCCTTCACACTGGCTGTTTCCACTGCAATAATCATCCCCTCTCTCTCATGGGATCATTCCTCCTCACCCCTCAGTCTCAGCTCACATGTGCCTTCCTCTAGGAAGCCCTCCTTAACTTCTCAGGCTGCCTCTTAAGTTTGAAGCCCTCAGAGCTTCCACAATCACAAATCTAAATGCATTCTGCCCCGAGCTTCCCCTCAGAGCCCCCATCACTCTACCCTGGACTTCCTCTAGCCAAGCAGCAACCATTGAGCTGTCACTGTCTGATGATTTGCCTTTCCTCCACTGGAATGTGAGTGATGTGAGGGCAGGATCTGGGGCCATTTTGATCACTGCAGTTCCCCTACCATAGCCCACCTCAAGGTTAGGCTCAAAGGCCTTGGCTAATTTTTTGAATGTTGAATAAAATCCACCCCACCCCACCCCCAAGAGAGCTGCAGTGTCACTCACGGAACATGGCATCCAGCCTAACCAGGCAGCTGATGAAGTTGTCAAAATCCATGTTCCCTTCCTCATCTGAGTAGCGTCGGATGATCATGTTGTAGAGATGTTCATTTAGATGGAACCCTGACAATGATTTAGTCTCTCAGGTGTGGAAGTCATGTAGCCCAACCCACTCCCAGCCCGATTCAGACTCAGACCAGCTCAGTGGGGCTGTCTCACCAATCCTACCCCCAGCCCCACTATGTGCCCACCAGCCATACCTGCTGCCTCAAAGGCCCCCGGAAGTTCACTGCTGCCAATGGTTCCTGAACGGTCAACATCAAACTGTTTATATATGGCCTGTGTGGACAGAGAGGTCAGGGACCAAATGAGCATCATGGGGCACAGCATCTCCATGGCTTAGAAGTCTTCATGCTAAGTTTCAGAGGTCATACACACCTGCCATTTTTTTATGTTGGTCCACAGATACTTGAATTCCTCGAAACCCAGCTTGCCTGTTGTGTCACTCTGGCAGAAGGATGTTAAGAATAGCTGTACCAAATGTGTGCACTGTACACCCTCTATACATCATGATATAACTGCCAAGCAGGAAAACATGGGGCTAAAACCCCAGTTCCTATCTCACCCTAGTCATGTTACCTTGGATGTTGTGCTTTTTTTTGTTTTATCCATACAAATTTTACTTTGTTTCTTTTCATTTTATTTATTGATTTTAGAGAAAGAGGAAAGGAGGGAAGGAGAGAGAGAAACATCAATTTTGTTGTTCCACTTATTTATGTATTCATTGGTTGCTTTATGTGATCAAACCCACAACCTTGGCCTATCAGGATGATGCTCTAACCAACTGAGCTACCTGGCCAGGGCCACTTCATGTTTCTAAATGGTTAGGACTCTCTTTAAACATAACCATGTGGAATTAAAATGAACTTTTCCAAACTATAAATTTCTCACCTAAATAGTTGCTAATTCCTCATTTATTAAATCCTTGATAGTAATTTGATTTCCTAAATGTTAGAACGTGTAGGGGAGAAACCAAGATGGCAGCATAGGTAAACACCTAACTGCAGCCTCACACAACAATTTCAATAAAATACAACTAAAATACAAAATGGACATTACCCAGAACTACAGGAAAGTCAACTGACTGGAAATTCTACAACTAGAAGGAAAGAGAAAACCAGAAGGAAAATCAGAGGAGCTGTTAAAGCCTATGGTACGGAGACAAGGTGCTCGCGTGGGGAGAGGACGGAGCCGGAAAAGTGGGAGAGGATGAGTGCCTGGCTGGCGTTCCCTAGCAGGAAGGAAATAAAAGCTCCAGACTGTGCTGAACCCCAGTTCTGACAGCACTGAACTCCAGTTCTGGGCAAGACCCTGGGGACCCAGACATAAGGAGGAAGCCTGGGCTGTAGGGTGGAAACCCAGCGGAGCGGCAAAAAGCAGTCCCAGAGGCACACACATTACGTGCAGAGGACAGACTGTTGACTCTGCTGCTAGATTGTCCTAGCGTAAAGAAGACAAAAGCTCTGGACTGTGCTGAACCCCAGTTCCAAATACACTGAACCCCAGTTCTAGGCCAAACCCTGGGGACCCAGGCTCATATGGAGGGAGCCTGGGCTGTAAGGCGGAAACTCAGGGGAGCAGAGAAAGGAAGTCCCAGGGGCGAGCACATTGTGCACAGAGAACGGACGGTTGATTTGCCGCTGGATTGCCCTAGTGGGAAGGAGACAAAAGCCCCAGACTGCTTTGAACCCACTTCCAACCTCACTTCCAACTGAACTGAACCCGTTCCAGCCTCATTGGGGGAGATCCTAGACTGTTTGGTAGCGCGTGAAACTCGAGGGCACCTTTCTCTCAGACTCAGGAGCCTCATAGGGCGGGGCGGATGGAAGCCAAGGCTGTAGGCTCCACCCTGAAACTCCACCCCATCCAAGCTGCCAGCTCAGGGAAGCTTTGAAAATGCTGAGACAAGGAAATAGATCACAAACGAAAGAAATGGACAAAAAGACTGGATATAGAATTCAAAACCACACTTATAAGGTTTTTCAAGAACTTCCTAGAAAAGGCCGATAAAATAAATAAATGAGACCTATGAGGATATGAAAAGGGATCAACAAGAAATAAAGAATACATTGTCCGAAATAAAAAATATTAATAGAGTCCTAAAAACAGAATGGAGGATCGCAAGAATCAAGTCAAAGATTTGGAATATAGAAGACACTCCTCCTCAGAAGCAAGAAGACAAGAGAATACAGAAAGTTGAAGATAATGTAAGAAACCTCTGGGTCAACTTCAAGTGAACCAACATCAGAATTATGGGGGTCTTGGAAGAAGAGAGAGAGCAAGATACCGAAAACATACTGAAAGAAATAGTGACAGAAAACTTCCCCAACCTGGTGAAAGAATTAGACCTACAAGTCCAGGAAGCGCACAGACCTACAAGTCCAGGAAACGCACAGAACCCCAAACAAAAGGAGTCCAAAGAGGACCACACCAAGACACATCATAATTAAAATGCCAAGAGCAAAAAAACAAAGAAAGAATATTAAAACCAGCAAGAGAAAAGCAGATAGTTACCTATAAAGGAGCACCCATACGATTGTCAGCTGATTTCTCAACAGAAACCATGCAGGCCAGACGGGAATGGCAAGAAATATTCAAGGTGATGAGTAGCAAGAACCTACAGCCAAAAATACTCTACCCAGCAAAGCTATCACTCAGAATCGAAGGCCAGATAGAGAGCTTCACTAATAAAAAAAGCTAAAGGAGTTCATCACCGCCAAACAGAATTATATGAATTGCTGAAGGGGGTTCTTTAGGAAGAGGAAGAAAATAAAGATAAAAATTATGAACAACAAATATGTAACTATCAACAAGTGAATCTAAAAACCAAGGGAATTATATATATACATTTTATTGATTTTTTTACAGAGAGTAATATAGATAGAGAACTAGAAACATTGATCAGCTGCCTCTTGCACGCCCCCCACCGGGGATGTGCCCGCAACCAAGGTACATGCCCTTGACCGGAATCGAACCTGGGACCTTTCAGTCCACAGACCAATGCTCTATCCACTGAGCTAAACCGATTTCGGCAAAACCAAGGGAATTAAAAAAATATGAACAATATTAACTGGTAAATATAATAGAATCAGAGGTATGGATGGGAAGTGATCTGATGATTCTTGTGGAAAAGGGTAGTAGGCGGTGTGGGAAGAGACTGAACATAAACTGTGCACCTATGGATGAGGACAATGGGGGGTGGAGAAAGGGCAGAGGGTGGGTTGGGAACCTGGTGGAGGAAAGCAATGGAGGGGAAGGGGGAATGAGGAACATTTGTAGTAATATGTTCATATAATATGTTTAATAAAGATTAAAAAAAAAAAAGAACATGTAAAAAAACAAGAGCAACTTAGAGCTATAAGAAAATGAGGGACAGTAGTGAATATCTGATGGGTTTGTGATCTGAGCAGAATGAGATATTGGCAGAAAGCTCTTAGCTCCAGTGCGGCACTGAGAAATTCTCAATAACAACCTACCAAGACTTACCAGATTACCTAGTTCACATACCAGTTTTAAGCTTCTTAGACCATAACTTTGCTCACTAAATCCTCAAGACACCAGCCCCACATGTAGTATTCCCCAGTCACAGAGATGGAAATAGATTTAGAGCAGAAAAATCTACCTGTATCCCTGGTTGACAACGCTCAGTGGTCAGAGCATCAGCCCTTGTACTGAAGGGTTGTAGGTTCAATTCCCAGTCAAGGGCACATACCTGAGTTGCAGATTCACTCCCCATCTCCAATCGTGCAGTAGACAACCATCTGATGTGTCTCTCATACTGACATGTCTCTCTCTCTCTCTCTCTCCCTTCTACTCTCTCTGAAAAGCAATGGAAAAATATCCTCTGATGAGGATAACAACAACAAAATCTACCTGCATAAGATCATAGTAACACCTAATGTTCAGACCACTCTTTATCATTACAAACTATACTAAACCTTTTGCATGTAACTCTTATATAATCACATGTGATCACACAACATGTGTCTGCACTGATCTATGTGCCGAGTGTGCATGTATCCAAGATCAGCTAATGACTGACCACATGCAAATAGACAAGTGTTCCTGTGCATATGCCATCACATATCTTAGTGTATATGGGTGTGCCTTATGTGTGCATGTATATATGTGCATGTAGGCATACATATGGCAATTATAAACTTAGGTTCTCAAGCCCAAAAGACATGGAGTCCAAATTCCTATCCTGCTACTTACTCTTTATAACTTCAGACAAATGACTGTCTCTCTCCAAGTCTGTTTCTTTACCTTTAGAATGGAATATAATAATTGTATGTGTCTAAAAGAATGGTTCTGATGTACATATAAGTGCCAGCTATGACAGCTGATATTATTATTGATTGCCACATATCCTGTCCACTTCTGTGGGTATGCAAGTTATACCCTGGTTCCCACCCAAGCTCTCAGAAAATTCCTCTTCACTCAAGGCTTCTTCCAGAGTGCCCTCAAGGATACATCCATCACGGCCACCATGCTGCGACATGTGTCAATGCCAAAACCATCAGTCTTCAGATCAGGGTCTGTGGAGACAGGTTGAAGGTCAGAGGCCAGAGGTCATTACTACCCCAACTGCCAAACCTTTAAACCTGCCCAATGTGTGGACCCCAGTCACTCACGTCGGGTAACCACTTTGTTGAGAATGTTCATAAGTTCTGTTGCGCTGACTTCCATGTCCTACAGGGAAGTTTAGGGTGGATCAGGGGTGACTGAAAAGGATCTGGGCATGTTATGAAGGAGGATAGGAACTTTTGGATAGCCATGGTTGAGTGTGTGTACAAGAGCCACCCAAGGGAAATTATAGAAGAATTAGGACAGGGTTACTTACATCTCCAGCCAGCTGGGCAAAGAGCCTCCGGAACTGTCGGACCTCCTCACTCTCATTGGCCTCGATGTTGGAGTAATGGGTGCGTGGGGGCTGCAGAGGGAGAAGATCTCATAGAAGGTAGAGTGAGAGGTGGGAGGGTAGCCCTGGCCAGTACAGCCCTAGGTTGCCACCCAGAGTGGACTGAGCAGTTGAGTGATCAAATGAGAGGTAGTCAGTGAATAAGGATTGGGTAACAGCTGTTGTGGACATGAAAAGGGAGAGACTGTGAGAGGGATGTGGAAAGGGTGGGGCTTCTCCAAAGGGACAAGAAGTGCTGGAAAAGGCCTCGGAGTGGAAAAAAGGTCTCAGGCTGTGGAGGGCAGCTTACCGGAGGCTCTGGGTTATACTGCGCAGCCGCCTCACTGGAGGGAAACAGGGGAATTAGTGCTACTACACCCCAACCCCCCCCCAAACCCAGACTGCCACCTCCCTACCTGCTCCTTCCGCCTGCCTCATCTCTCTTTGTCCTCACCTGTCCCTATCCTTGCTGCCCTGTTTGCACCCGCAAGGAAACTCAGAGGCCTGATCTTAAGGGCACACCTGCCCAATGGCAGCTCCAATAGACTCAGCCCCTCTCAGGACTCATTTCGTAAAATTTCTGCCCCTGATTCTCAGGGCCCAAAACTCCTCCGATCCCATCTGTCTAGGAACTTAATTCATTGCTAGGGCTTTCTTAACTCTTGTGCCTCTGCCCCAACTCCTTGGAGGGATCACTGCTCGATGGCCAAGGCTAATTAGGCCTCTAATTAGGCTAACTAGAAATTCTATCTGCCCTACCTCCACCAGGACATTTTTTTATTTTAACCCAGTCAGGCTGGGCCTCTTCAAGACCATTTCTCTTATTCCAGGAGGTTTAGCCTCTCCTGGAAGGACCTTCTCATGGACACACCTAGGTCGGCGCGCCCGGCGCATAAAACAAGCCTTGCCCCCATGAAGTGACACCCAGCCTCGCAGGCTCCGCCCCCTTAACGTTCATATTCAGGTAAGCGGAAGCCGGCGGGTAAGCCCCTTCTCCCAAAACCCGGCCCAGACCGGACCCTTCAAAGATCCAACAGAGAGCAACCCCCCAGGTGTGGCCCTGCCCCCACGAGCTGCAGTCGCCTCCTTAGGACCCGCCCCTCAAGGCCGGCTTCCCAGCCCAGGCTCGGCCCAGCCTAATGGAGGCTCCAGGTCAATCTCCAGGTTACCCCATTCTATTCAGGCCGGACCAGTCTCCAACGTGAGGCCCCGCCCCCTCAAGCCCCGCCCTACCTGATGGCACTAATGACCCCGCCCAGGATGCGCATGGCAGTTCCGCCTCCGCCGCCGCCGCCGCCGCCGCCTCCGCCTCCGCCGCCGCCGCCGGCTCCGCTGATTAGGCCTCCGAGCACATTCCCCAGGCCCCCGCCCAGGCCCCCGCCTCCCCCGCCGCCGCCGCCGCCGCCGCCCTTCAAGAACGAGTTAACCAGGAACATGGCTGTGACTCTAGATTCCTAAAGAGAAATTAGGAATAGTGGTTAGGTGGTCGCCGAGCCCCGAATCCACCCAACCCGTAAAAATAAGAAATTCAGGCAGCTGGACGTGGGGGAATGAGGCCTCTGGCTGGGCTCGAAGAGACTGTTCAGAATGGTGTCCCGGCTGCTGGGGGTGGCAGTGCTCGGATGTGTGCGGAAGGGATGGTCACACTTGAAACCCCTTCCGGATTCAAAGAGTCTTGTCAGCCGAATGACCCCGCGTGAGTCTACAGGAGGCATCGCTAAGCGTGGGGTTCGGGGAGCGCCCAGTTGGCGTGAGGCATCCTGGAAGTGCCTGGGAGCTCGGTCAGAGCCCCAGACTGGACTAGAGGTCTTGGGCGGGTCAGGAACGCGGATCAGGTTCTCGGCCTGGAGGCCGCAGAGACAGGGTTTTGGAAATTCAGAATGTGGGATCACAGTGTCACCACTGGGTCGGTGGGCTCGGGTATGAAATCGTGAGGGTAAGAACCAGGCCAGGGATAACGGGGTTCCCGTTAGAATGGGGGGCACGAGAGCATAATTTACGGGGTACCTCTCAAATCCAAGGACGGAAGATGGAAGTGTGTCCGGGGCGAGATGACGGGGGTCTGCAAGTTCGAATCTCAGATCATCGCCCTGGGGACCTCTACAGCCGGGACTTTAGGATCTGGTCGGGTCTGCGGCCGTAAGGGCCGGGATTACGAAGTACAAGGGAAGTGGGTGCTCACCGCCTCTCGCGGGTCCGCGGGTCCGCTCCTCTGCGCCGCTCCCCGGCTCTGGCGGAGGCCGGCTCTGTAGGGCGGGGCGCGTGACTCAGGCGGCGCCTCCGGGTGAGCCCCGCCGGGCGCCCCGCCCGCTTCCGCGCGGCCGCTGCCGTCTCTACTGCGCCTGCGCGCGTCCGGCCTCGGTAATCGGTCGTAGCAGCTGGACTCGGCCGAATCCCCGCTCTGATTTCATAGCTCTGCGGTCTTCCTAACACCTCCAACCCGGCTCGGATATGGTTTTCGCCGAAACGGGACTTTTGGCTTTCGGCTCCTATCCTGGTCTTGTCGCGACAGCATCTGGAAACCCCGAATTTTATTATCTCGCGATCGAGGCCCAAGCGCCCACATCCTTGCGGGGACTAGCGCTAGTCTAGATTTCCCGGGACCTTGCAGCAGCAGGATGGCGGTCAAACTGGGTAGGATTTTGCCGCCTACGAAAACCGCCTTGTCAGACTTGTCCTCCACCCGCATTCCTTTACCCTCAGTCAGGGTCAGCAGCATCATTTTTCCAGGATGGGCCCAAAGTGTCATCTCAGACTTCCCATCTCTAAAGAGGGGGCCTGGGCACAGAAGAGTCCACTGGCCAAAGCCTGGTTGGGTGATGGGCGGGAATGCCAAAACTGGGAGAAAAAGTGGCGACTCCAGCTGCCTTCGGAGGCCTTTCCCTTGCTCTCTGTTTCCAATCTCCAACCTGTGCACACCAAGCACTTTTTCGGTTTTTTTATAAGGAACTGAATCTACCTAGCTACCAGGCTGTTTGACTTGTTTGGCCCTTAGCCTCTCCCCTGGAGGCTGGCTTGGTTTGAGTTTGAATCTGGGCTCTGCCCCTTAAAAACTGTGACATTCCAAAAACAGGGACTTGAAATCTCTGAGCAATTATCTTCTTTGTAAAATGGACACAAAGACTTCTGTGCCCCCCTCTCTAAGCCCCTATTATAATTAAGCTAGTAGCCCTGCGCTTGAAATCTGTGGCCAGTAGCTCTCTGCTCCCGCCTGTTGCCCAGAGCCTCTCCATGACCCAGAGGCCCATCCTGACCTGATGAAGAAAGCACTCTGCCCGGCAGCGAGCCTGCTCTCAGAACCCTCCCGCCACTGGGGTACTTAGAGGGGCTGAGAGAACTGGTTGCCGCCATTTCGTGACAGTGATGGTTAATTTGCATATTATTTTTTTAAATATATTTTTATTGATTATTTTACAGAAAGGAAGAAAGGATAGTCAGAAACACCCATGAGAGAGAATCATCAATCATCTGCCTCTTGCACACTCCCCATTGGGGATGTGCCCGCAACCAAGGTGCATGCCCTTGACCAGAATCGAACCTGGGACCTTTCAGTCCGCAGGCCGACGCTCTATCCACTGAGCCAAACCGGTTTTCACTGCATATTATATTTTTATTTGATAGGACCATTAGCCCAGTCTGCATGGTGGAGTGGTTGAACATCAACCTATGAACCAGGAGGTGGTTCAATTCCTGGTAGGGGCACAAGCTGGGTCCCAGTGGGGGACAGGTAGGAGGCAGCCAAAGATAACTCTCACTCATCATTGATGTTTGTCTCTCTCTCTCCCTCTCCCTTAATCTCTGAAATTACTAAAAATATATTTTTAAAAAAAATAAGTGATTAGAGCTTAGTAGCTAGTATTCTGTGTCTGTACCCATGCTGTTCCCTCCTCCTGGAGCCCACCTAGATTCCTCACGTGGCTGACTCTTGCCCATTCTTAGGTAATACTAATAAAATCAACTCCTAAACACTTGACATATATCAGCTCATAAGTCTTCATAACAGTCTTTCTCTCCATTTTAGAAATAAGTAAAGTGACTATGAGGTCAAGCTCTCTAGCTTATAGTCTTAACCATTAACCTGATCCACTGATTGTATCTAATAAAATTTACTGTCATTCTACTACACCCACAAGCCATGCCCACCAGCCAATCAGGAACAAGTATGCAAATTATCCCAACCAAGATGGCTACAGCCATGGAGAGAGCAGGAGTCTTGGGTTTTCCCGGCAATGGAGGAAGCCAAGCTTTCCACCCACCCTGGCCAGCCCAGGCCTCCACTCAAGGCTACAAGTTTTAGTTATAGAAGATAGATAAATCCCAACAAAAATGGCAGCAGCCACAGAGCTGGAGAGAGCAAGAGGCTTGAGTTGCCTCTGGATATGGAGAAAACCAAGCTTCCACAGCCCTGGCCTGCTTTGGCCTTGCTCAAGGCTACAAAGTTTCAATTATAGAATATAAATAAGTCCCAGATACCAGGGCCTCTGCTTGGGTCACTAGGGGATGTGGCCAGCCTGAAAACCACCACAGGCCCCTCGCCCAGGCCACCCCACATCCCAAGGGAACCCCCACCCTGATCCGGGACACCCTTTAGGGCAAGCCAGCTGGCCCCCTATGAACCAGGCCTCTATCCTATCTAATAAAAGAATAATAGCTCAGTGGATAGAGCATCGGCCTGCAGACTGAAAGGTCCCGGGTTCGATTCCAGTCAAGGGCATGTACCTTGGTTGCGGGCATGTCCCCAGTAGGGAGTGTGCAAGAGGAAGCTGATCGATGATTCTCTCTCATTGATGTTTCTGACTCTATCCTTCTGTCTTCCTCTCTGTGAAAAATCAATAAAATAAAAAATTTTAAAAAAAGAATAATATGCAATTTGACTATCACTCCAACACACAAGATGGCTGTCCCCATGTAGTAAAAGATGGATGCCTCTATCTATGTGGACACAAGATGGCCACCACAAGATGTCAGCGGGGGAGGGTTGTTGGGAGGGACCAGGTCTGCAGGGGAGGGCAGTTGGGGAGACCTTAGCCTGCAGGGAAGGGCCTTTAGGGGGAACTAGACCTGCAGGGGAGAGCAGTTAGGGGCAAACAGGCTGGCAGGGGAGTAGTTAGGCATCAATCAGGCTGGCTGGGGAGTGGTTAGAGGGTGATCAGGCTGGCAGGCAGAAGCAGTTAGGGGCAATCATGAAGGCAGGAAGGTAAGCAATTGGGAGCCAGCAGTCCTGCATTGTGAGAGGGATGTCGCATATTGGAGAGGGTGCAGGGTGGGCTGAGGGACATCCTCTCCCCTCCCCTCCTATGCATGAATGTTGTGCACCAGGCCTCTAGTTCTTAAATAATATAATATGATAATACTTCACATAAAAAGATCAAAACAGCCAAAACCGATAGATCCTGGGTTCGATTCCAGTCTAGGGCATGTACCTTGGTTGCGGGCACATCCCCAGTATGTGCAAGAGGCAGCTGATCGATGATTCTCTCTCATCGACATTTCTAACTCTCTATCTCTCTCTCTTCCTCTCTATAAAAAAAATCAATAAAAATATATTAAAAAAAAAAAAAAAAAAGATCAAAACAGATGAAACCCAGAGTCAAGGCTAATGCTACCTGAAGGCTTTTTGGGGCCAGGGCAAGGAACTGCTTCCCAAGCCTTGTCTGTGGAACAGGAACTAACGAGAGAAAATGGAGGCTCTAAAGGCAGGGTCACTTACCTGAGGTCACAGACAGTGTCAGGACCAAATCAGAGCCTGGGTTTGGCTATCCCAAAACTTTTTTTTTTTTAAATACATTTTTATTGATTTTTTACAGAGAGGAAGAGAGAGGGACAGAGAGTTAGAAACACCGATCAGCTGCCTCCCACACACCCCTTTCTGGAGATATGCCCGCAACCGGAATTGAACCTGGGACCTTTCAGTCCACAGGCTGATGCTCTATCCACTGAGCCAAACCGGTTTTGGCTATCCCAAAACTTTTGGTGATGACTAAATCAGATTCCTTTCTCAACACCCCCCACGCCAGACTGAGCAGTTTGTTTTCTGCCCTCTCCAGGGTTCACTTGCTGCCAGGCCTTCACATGGGCTGTGCCCTCTACCTAGAATACGTCATCTCTTCTTGTTCATTTGCTTGCTGATTTGCTTGCTTGTTTTTGCTTTCCCGGTTTTGTAGTTACTCAGGCTTTGGGTGTCAGGAATCACTTCTTCAGGGAAGCCCTTCCTGTCTGCACCTCATCTGAGACTAGGTGCAGTTTACAGTTAACATGCTTGTAACTTGCATTTTCTCCAGCACTCACTGCCAATTACAATCTTATTGTTATCCAGGTCTGTCTGCCTGATCTTAACCTTGAGATTTCCTTCACATGCATTGCTTAAATTCAATTTCTAGGTTATCAATACCCAAATTTCTCTCTTCAGTTATTTCCAGGATCCAGCATCCTATTCACCATTTCCATAGGGGATCCCTTAAGCTGTCCTCCTGTTTTTTTTTAATTGTTTTTTTTTGTTTGTTTGTTTTGGTTCCCTGATTGATTTTTCTATCAGTGTGTTCTCTCTTTTTTTTTAATTTCTTTATTGATTAAGGTATTACATATGTGTCCTTATTCCCCCATTCTCCCTAACCGCCCCCCACACAGTATGTTCTCTTTTTTTTAAGTTTTTATTGATTTTAGAGAGAAAGGGAGATGGAGAGAGCGATAGGAACATCAATGATGAGAGAGAGTCATTGATAGGTTAATCCTGAATACCCCCTCCTGGGGATTGAGCCTGCAACTCCAGCATGTGCCCTTAACTGGAATCGAACCCGAAACCCTTCAGTCTGCAAGCTGACACTCTATCCACTGAGATAAACCATCTAGGGCCAGTGTGTTCTTTTTTCTTTTTTTTTTCTTTAATTTTTTTTTTTTTTTTTTTTTTTTACAGAGAGGAAAGGAGAGGGATAGTTATAAACATTGATGAAAGAGAAACATCCATCAGCTGCCTCCTGCACACTCCCTACCGGGTATGTGCCTGCAACCAAAGTACATGCCCTTGATTGGAATCGAACCTGGGACCCTTCAGTCCACAGGCCAACGCTCTATCTACTGAGCCAAACCGGCAAGGGCTAGTGTGTTCTTTATTAGTGCTATGTCACTTTATTTCTGACTGTTATTTATTTATTTGTTTTAGTTACTATATCTTTTCTCATGCTGTTGGGCATCTTTACCATCATTATTCTGAACTCTATATCAGATAAATTCTTATCTCCGTTTTATCTCTTCTGGAGAATTCTCTTGTTCTTTCATTTGGGGGTTGTTTGTCTCCCTATTTTGGCTGCTTATTTGAGGTTGTGTGTACGGATTAGGTAGATCTGCTACCCCTCCCAATCTCTAGTGCAGGACCATGTCAGACCCTATTTCTAATTGGCCCTGAGTATGCTGTTTAGGTCTATCAGCAATCCACAGCTTGTGGCTCCCTCCCTCTGCTGGGGCCGGATACTTTTGGAGAGGACCAAGATATACATCGGGTCTGCTTTTCCTACCCCC